CCCCATTCGGAAATGTGGTCCAAAGCCTGATTGAGTTCAATGACAAGATTTTCCCGTTTCTCCCTGGTTACTGCATGCCCAGCCGCTGCTTGTCCGAGATACCCCGCATGCACTGTACTATCGTCTGCATAGCAATGAATATTCCCAAGAGGAATCAGGTCATTGATATGCAGCAGAAAGAGAGTGGGGGATAGGACGGAGCCCTGGGGAACGCCGGCATTCACTGACATGAACCGCGAACTGCTACCATCCGTAAGGACACAAATTCTACGCTCATGCAGGAAGTCAGCTACCCAAGAACAGAACTGGGCTGGCAGACCGTATGCCGGAAGCTTGGAGAGAAGGCTTTTGTGCCAGACCCTGTCGAACGCCTTGGCAATGTCGAGGCTGATAGCCAACGACTCGCCACGCTTGTCGATAGCCTCATCCCAGATATGAGTTAAGTACGCTAGAAGATCACCCGTCGATCGTTTCGGTCTAAATCCATATTGACGATCATTGATCAGGGAGTGATCCTCTAGGTAGCGGGTCAGATGGTTATTAAGGACCTTTTCTAGAACTTTACATAAAACTGAGGTGACTGCTATTGGCCGATAGTTTGCCGGGTCTGAGCGATCCCCTTTTTTGGGCACCGGTTGCACGTTAGCATCTCTCCAAGTCTCCGGCACACGCCCCAAAGAATACGAGCATTGGTACAAGCGCGTGAGCACGGGAGACAACTCCGCTGCACATTTTTTAAGTACTACTGCTGGGATGCCATCAGGTCCACCAGCTTTCCGGACGTCGAGTGATTGCAACTCGGCACGAACCTCACGCTGCCTGATTTTAATATCAGGCATCGTTGTGCCACAGTGAGGTAATGATGGTGGCAGTGCATTGCAATCATCGATTCGGGAGTTAGCCGCAAAGAGTTTTGCCAGTAAATCGGCTTTCTCCTGCGACTTATGAGCTAGTGTTCCGTCTGGGCATCTCAGAGGTGGCAGCGAGGGCTGGCAGAAGTTTTTTTGCACGGCCTTGGCCAAACGCCAGTAGCTACGGGAGCCCGCAGGATGCGTTATAAGTTCCTGGCCAACACGTGCAACACGCTGGGCATCCGCTCTGATGTAAGCCTTCTTACAGGCCTTGGAAGCAGAATTGTAGGCTGCTTTGAGTGAATCGACCCCGGGATCCTTGAAGGCGCGGCCTCTGATCCAAGCACGATATGCCGCTTGCTTACGCGAAGCAGCTTCAGCACAGTCGTGATTGAACCAGAGGTTACGTGTGCCCTTACTGATGAGATCAGAATGAGGAATATAGTATTCCATACCCATTATGATCTCCTCAGTAATGGCAACGGCACTGCCCGATAGGTCCCTGTCACTGAAGCAGCGCTGCTTCCAAGGGACGGACGCAAAGTAATCACGCATACCGTCCCAATCTGCCGACCCATAATGCCAGATATGGCGCTTGACCACTGCTGGACGCGGAGGCTTGGCCTGTGGTGCTTTGGCAGATATCAGGCAGTGGTCGGACGAGCCCAGGGGGGCTCTTACCACAACCTGATAGCCCTGTGGATGGGTCGTGAGCAGAAGGTCCAGTAAAGAAGGCGCTTGACTTGGAATATCTGGGATCCTGGTGGGCTGATCAACCAGTTGCTTCAAGTCATGCGTGAGAGCGAATGTGTGAGCAGAGATCCCTGCATGGTCAGTTTTGGAAGAACTTAACCACAAATTGTGGTGAGCATTAAAGTCCCCCAAAAACACCAATTCTGCATTGGGAAATCGCTCCTGCGCGTCATCTGCTGCCCGACTAAGGTGTTCAAAAAGTCGAGTTGTCTCAACATCGTCGGTGTGGGATCTGTAGAGGCACACGTAGACTCCAGAGTCGACGTGTACCCCCAGCATGGAGAAGGAGGGATCTTCCAAGCAGCGGAGACGGCGACAACAAACATCCGCCCGAACATACAGGCATACACCGGCTTTCGCTTTGAAGGACTCTTCAAGCACGTAGCCGGGATAATTAAGGTAGCCTGTGTCAGCAGGTGGAAGTATTTGTGTCTCCGTCAGGAACAACAATGCTGGCCGTGCTGTCTCGAGATGGTGGTGGACAGCGTTGAGGTTAGAGTGGAGTCCGCGTATGTTGCAGAACTCGACCTCAAACAGCGTTGAAGGCGTGGGGGTGTGCACCGCTGTACGTCCAAACTTTGTTATTAAGGCTGCCATGGTGGAAGTGAAAAAAAAAGAGACGCGAAAACGAGCGGACGCCGTCGCGAAGAGTCCGGGCAAATAAGGGGGGTTTGTCTTCCCGATTGACTGCAGTGGAGATGCGCCGACCCGCCGGACGGAAGGGCCCCCGCACCCCCCCGGAAGTGGCCGCCGGGACCCCACGCCCTGGTCACCAACCGGCACGACGGTCCACCCCGAGATTATGCGTGACATGATGGGGCAGCCTCGCGAACTGGTTAGGAACGCTTGGGCCCCTGAACTGTTTATCACTAAATAATTGATTTTCAAATGAGGAACTCGATGGCGCGGGTGCTTAGCGCGTTCGGCTGCGATCGTTGAAGTTTAGCAACTTTCGCAGTGGTCGATCATTGGATGGGTGACCAAAAATCTTCTATCTCGAGTTCCTCCGTGCTTCGAAAGGCACGTTAAGCCGTTGGTCCCGGCTGCATCTGCAGTTGTTAGCACCCGCCAATCCGCACTGGGCCCGCGTGGTGGGTCATGGCCCAATCTCCCTATTCCATCCATAGAGAAAGCCTGTGCCCCAGCAATGGGAACATTAATAGGCTAAAGATGAGTTAATTTTCATATATTAAATATAATTTTATTCATTCTATGCTCTAGTGTCTTCCTTTTTTTTATAACGTTTGTTTCAAAGCAACTAGAAGCTCTCAAAAATGACAAAAATAAACAAATTTTTATCACGATACAGACATCTTATGAAAAGATTTAAAAAGCATTTACAAAAGAGTGAAACAATGAGGCATAGTATAACTACTTATTATTCTATGGGTTAAATTTATTTTACATTATATCTAAATAGCGAAGAGGAAATCGACCAGAGCCAAACCACGAATTTTGCAAATTTTATACGCAATTTTTAAGCGTAAACTACTGTTGACCCTATCGCATGGTATTTACTAAAGCGTAAAAGCAGTAGTTTTTTCAAATACCTTTTCTCTAATGTCTCTCGGCTCGCGTCCGGTCTTAAGTACCTTTGATGCTCTGGTACATACCACGAGGGCGTTAGTTTTCAGATATTCTGGAACTTTTACAGTAGTCAATATGTTTTAACTCCAGTCATTAGAATCTCACAAGGCTCCTGTAGCAAACTACAATTAATTTTTACTTTGAAGTTCTTTTGCAGTGAATTCTGGCACTTGCTTTGCGATAGCATTATAATAAGACGTTTTGTTACTTAAATAAAATTACTTTAAATAGACATGAATGAATGGGCAGATGTACCGATGTAATCCATACTAATATTATAAATTATGTGTGTCTGTCTGTTTGTTACCTCCTCACGCTTATACCCCTGAACCGGTTTAGATAAAAAAAAGTCGCGGACAACCACTACTTTTTTTTTATAAAAAATGCATAGATATTTATAAACATCCATGACTTAGGTACAAATTCTCGTATTCATCATACGATTTTTTTCCACACTGGGATGTGAACACAAGAGCTCTGAGTTGCCGACACCTTGAAACCGGTCGAAGTGGTATACCTATGCACCACATACTACTCACACCACGGAGCTCGTCAATCTTCGGCAGTTATACCTAAGAATAAGAAAAAATATAAACTATTCATAAAATTGTTCATGATTCCTGATTATGTAAGACAGTTATGCAAAATTTGTCTGTATACAAAAGATTGTTCAAATCCACTACAAACTGACAGAAAGTTCCGATATCGGGATGTTCTTGTATTGAGATCTCAATGCTTCTCTATATCTCATTAACTCAGGGTGGCGTAAAATTAATCACTATCGGAAAATGTTATCATTATTGCAAATAGCGTGATGTTATCATTATTGCAAATAGCGTTATGTTATCATTATTGCTAATAGCGTGGTGTTATCATTATTGCAAATAGCGCGATGTTATCATTATTGCTAATAGCGTGATGTTATCATTATTGCAAATAGCGTGATCTTATCATTATTGCAAACAGCGTGATGTTATCATTATTGCAAATAGCGTCGTACATCAATCATATTTGAAATTTGTGAACTACACAAATGCAGAATACAAACAAACAAGCAATTGAACACGATACTGGGCAAGAGCGTAAGCATGTATGGTTCCGTACAAGACGGTGCAACCGCCCCACAACATAATTTCATTTTGGAGATTTGGTATGGCTATCAAGGTAGCTGGATTTAACCGCCCCATTTGGGGCTACTTGAAGTCTCGGGTTCATGTCAACAAGCCCCGGAAAATCGCAGCCCTTATAAAATCATTCGACAATTATGCGAACAGTAGTCACCTGGAATCTTGCAAAAATCATGGAAAATGCGATAAAACTGGCACAAATATAGTAACACTGGTGGCAGCCAATAGATAATTTAAAAGAATTCAATCACTAAAATTTTTGCGCCTTCTTGTATAATGTACCGCCCGGAGTAAAGCCGAACAGGTCGTTAATTTAGAAAAATAAAAATAAAAACGAGTTTGCTTATGACCACATGAATGAAGTGAAACTTCTTTAGCTCCATCTGTATGTGTATATATATGTGTGTACACTATATACATGCATACAAAACAAGTCAAGCGTGCGTAAAGAAGTTTCACTACTAAAAATTTTAAATTCGTCTTATACTTACATAATAGTCAATAGACTTGATATTTGGCACGAATACTAAAGTAAATAAATTATAAAGTTTGCCATTTTTCATTTTCCTAAACTACTCTTAAAGGGGATTGTGAGTGTCGAAGTTTATTATGGACGAATATTAACGCTCATTTTGATTAACTGTAAACTAAGTATTTATACCTACTTACTATGTTGTTGCAGGTACATAGGTCGCAAGATTTTACTGGACGACGAAGAAGAACAGGTGTCGGAGCACACTCGCCGGCCGCTGTACTCGTACTGGACGCTGGGCTACCTGCTGAGCGGGCGCGGCGCGGGCAAGCTGCTCGCCGCCCGCCCGCTCGCCAGCGTGCTGCCCGTTGACGAGTTCCTGCCTATCATGTTCGACCGCCACCCCGAGTGAGTACACTACCAGGGGCGTCCAGTAGCAACAATCATCAACATCAGCCTATTAATGTCCCCACTGCTGGGGCACTGGCCTTCGCTATGAATGGAATAAGGAGATTGGGCCTTGACCCACCACGCGGACCCAGTGCGGATTGGCGGGTGCTAACGACTGCAGATGCAGCCAGCACCAACGGCTTAACGTGCCTTTCGAAGCACGGAGAAACTCGAGATATAACATGTTTGGTCACCCATCCAATGACCGACCACTACGAATGTTGCTTAACTTCAACGATCGCAGCCGAACGCGCTAACCACCTGCGCCATCGAGCTCCTCAATAGCAACAATAGCTATCCGTAAATGGAATGCTCAGCCCGCTCACGTGTTCCCTCCCTCTTACAACCTGGTATCCTTTAAAAGAGGCGTGAAGAAGCAACATGCAGGCCGGCAGGGTGAGGATGGCTGGTGTGGCAGGTATAACTGCTGCATGAGCTATCTTCGCGTCTGGACTTCACCTTCACTTAACATTAAGTGGGGTGGAGTCATTTGTCGGACCTATAAAAAATAATAATTGCTGATTCATTTATTAGAACAATCGCAGGAAGTTATGGGTATTTAATTACAGCAGTCATCATCAGCCTATTATAACTTGTACGCTGTAAAGTCGACTCTCCCGAAGGTCTGCGGGACGCGGGAGGGAGGGATGGAGAACGGTTGTGGCTATGCCACACCGTTACAATATCACTCGCACTGTCGCCTACTTTAAGTGCGGGTGATATTTTTGGGTCAATCAATCCCCTATCAAGTACTGCTGAGCTTTCTGGAGGAGCTGGGATGGCAGAACTGATGCCAATCCCCACGCAAAATAGGCACTGGGTGTCGAGTTGCTGAAACAGTCCGCCGTATTACTAAGACTGAGACTAATCCCCTACCCTGTAGAGAAGTTGAAAGTACTCCGTAGATGGAATAGGAAAGTTGGGCCTTGACCCACCACACCCGCCCCGTACGTATTGGTGGGTACTAACTACACAGATGCAGCCGGGACCAACGGCTTGTCGAGCCTTCTGTTGCCCAAGCTTTTGAGCTTAAGATAAGTAAATTCTTAGCCACCCATCATATAAAACATAATTGCGAGTGTTGCTTAACGTCCATGATTACATAAAAACTATCTACAAACATCACTCCTGTAGCTATTACCTCAACGACGCGCGCTTTGCAAGAATCTGCGAAAGTAATAGTGGTCGTCCCCTTAAGTTACATTCCATCCATCGTGTGTCGATTCTGCTGAGTTATAGTAATAATCGTGTGTCCCTGGTGATTCTGAAGTTTTGATTTTTAACCCTTAACCAGGCTATGTATTGAACATATCCCACATAGATTTTTGGAGGTTTTTAACAGGTTTTGGTAAAGAATCTGCTACAAACTGTCTAAAACGCCAAATTAGAAATATTACCTATGGTCACACCTTACGACCATTTTTTTGTGGTCGTCCGTCCGTCTAACGGTTGTTTTTTTTGAGAAGTAATATTTTATTATTAAGTGCCGAATCGGAAAAAGTTAAGTCGTATTATTCTTCGATATGTTGTAGAATTTGAGTTTTTTTTTAAGATATATGCATGAAAAATATCATGATATAACAAAATAAAACATGTGGGTAACCATATGCCCTTAGCCTGTGAAGAACTTATTATTATGGGAGTTAGATGTCCATTGTCCGATGAATTGAAATCTTTCTTTTTGCCGCGGGTTATATTTTGGGTTTGGTTTGTAGAGAAGGAATTATGTTTTATTTTATCGAAGCATTGGTTAATGGTAAACTTTTGTCAACATTATTCTGTCAGATTTTCCACTTGTTTTTTTTTCTATATGGTATTTATAATATAGCAAATTGCCTAAATAGAATTCATAAAATCTCAAGCTAAACATTATTACTCATATATCTTCTAATACATAAAATTCTCGTGTCACGGTGTGTGTAATTGAACTACTGCGAAACGACTCGAACGATTTTCGTGTTATATGCTTATTCAGTAGGTCTAAGAACCGGACATCTGTTTTTCATCCCCCTAAATGTTAAGGTTAACTTTAATTTAATTTTAGTTAATTTTTTTTTTTGGCAAAATTTTTTGGTTTTATTTTTTTATGATACATCATACAAAAATACATGCAACCCTAAATTTTAACCCTTCTACCACCAACCCCTATTTTTATGGCGGTACGAAGTTCGCTGGGATAGCTAGTAAATCTATAAAAAAATCACTATTACTACAGGATTTGTCCGAGGCCTGGTAAATGGTTAAATATGATGATTTTTGCCAAACACACACAAAATAACAAACGCATTTGCACTCATTTGTTACAATTATCTAAATGCACTTGTTATTTTATATTTAAGTAATAAAAAAATCACAAAAAGCGAGTCTATTGAACTATTATTGACATACGAATTTCACGTTAACATAGCAGAATAGACACCCTGGTATCCTGTCTCATTTGATAGATGAATCGAGTATATTTGTTTCTAGTAAAAATTTTCTTTCGTCAGTGAGTCTTGGAAAGCGCACTTTCCGAATCGCAACCTGATAGCTCTGTCCGCGAGCCCTTTGCTCGTGCACCCCACACACTACACCGGCCAGGAAGGATACGTGAGTGACACGGAGGACTCGCATGTCGTTGATACGGACAACGTACGCACAGAGCTTTGAAACGTTTATATGGCATAATACAAACTAGTGACCGCCCGCACTTCGACCGCTTGAACTTTAGTTTTTTAAGTATTCCATAGGAACGTAACATTTTCCGGGATAAAAGCATCGTACGTTTCAATCCAGGTTATAAACTATATGCGTACCAAATTTCAACCAAATCCGTTCAGTAGTTTTTGCGTGATTGAGAAAGAAACAAACACGCAAACACATAAACATTCACATTTATTATATTAGTACAATAAAGTAGTGACCGCCCGCGACTTCATCCGCTTGTATTTAGTTTTTTGAGAATCCCATATGTACGTAACACTTGTCCTGGAAAAAAAATCCTATGTCTTAACCCATGCCATGAACTATATGCGTACCAAATTTCATCCAAATCCGTTAAAGACTAAGTTTCTGTTCTCGGGCTTGTAATCCAATGTGTTACATAGTTATAGTTTTCAGAAAAGTTGTTTATATTAAAGCTCTGCTGACTAATCGTATTCAAGTATGGTAGTTAATATGGTTTTAATTGCATGTACTATATTAAGTAAATAAAATTTAATTAAATAATTATTAAATAATAATAATATAATATAATAATTAGGACACAATCCATTTTATTTTACAGTAATTTTTGGTAATTTTTGTGAGTATGCAATTGTCCAATTTTATTCATAATTTTTGAGCATTCCTATTTTATAAACATAAGATAAACATTATAAGATGCACACACATACACACACACACCAACACTCATAATAAAATCCTTTGGCTATTCCATTGAATTTATAACTTAAGGACAGTTATCTGGATTAATAAATTGTTTACTAAATGGAACACAACTCTATGAATAGGGTGGAGGGTTCATTAGCTGAGACACAGGATTCATCCTAGTTCAGGTGTCAACCCACCATAATCTGAACAATACATACCTTTTATTTTTGGTAAAAGAAAAATAGCATGATGTTATGTCATTGTTTTTATGTAGCCATTAATACCAACATTATGAACATTGTGATTATGGTGAGAAATAAAGGTTATTATAGGTTATTATCAGGGACTCAGCGACGCCAACTTACTTTAAGGTTTCAGCAAACCGTGTTTAATTTTATTTTATTGTTACCGCTAAGACAACGACAGACAGCATCAACTTTTATTAAACTAACAAATTTCTTCTCTGAGTGCATACCACAGAAGCTATGTATTGTATGTGTATAATAATTTGTTATCTTAGATAAAAACAAAAAGGGTAGATACGGTACGCTCATACTAGCATGAAATAAAATATGATCCGACTCAACTACATAAACAACTCTCACACACGCACACGTGTGTAAATACGAGATTCAATAGAGCGAGCGAGAGAGAATTGTACGCTTCAACGCAAAGAGAGCGAAACGGCAAATACGCTTCCGAGTGCGAACGGCTGAGCTGTATTGTTGTCCTTTTCTTGATAACAAAATGGCGAGTACGTCACGACAAACCGTGATTTTTGAGAAAAAATATATTTTACAGTTTTACGAATGAGAAGTGTAGCCGAGGCATTTTTTATTTGATTTTGAACTTATTGTGTTCTTTATAAAAGCATCGAAGGCATTGTTTTATCTTTATAACACAGAATATACGCAATTATTGTTATGTTGAGTGCACATGCAGCGTGTTTGAATGTCCAATTGTGACTACAGCGAAGTGTGATCGTGTATCACAATTTAAGCGGATCACTTTTGAGCCGCGAGTGCCGAATCTTCCCTTTTTGTTTTAATCTAAGTTTGTTGTTAAAGTTTCGCGTTTATGTTAAATGCAAAAGGTCAATTCAAAAGTAACAGAACTTCTGAAGCTCCATCCGAATCTTTTGTAGTCATTAAGTGGTATTAAAGTATCTACTAGTGTAAACTTAAATATAGATTTTGTACTTGACATTTTGGCGTTATCTATAATATCATTAAATAAGTATATTACATAAGCAACAAAACTTGCAATATAATGAAAGTCACATAAGTGGTGGAGTGGCACCTATATAAAACGATTATGTCAAAAAAATTACACTGCCATCTTCAACGACTGTGATTGCGACCCGCCGAAGATCAAAATGCCATATTGTTCAATTCGAGTCACATGTTAAAACGTTTGATTATTTACTCCCTAGATAGAGCGTGGCAGCGCAGATGCGTTCAGAAAAATATCTCCCACCTGGTGGGGTGTAAATCGTTTCCCGTCACTTAGTGTTCGATGCAACGCTGCGCGATACGCACGTCAATTACCGAGTTTCGTGTTGAAATTATTGCTTAAAAATGCCGAGTTGCGCAATAAAAGTTTGCCGAAATTATAAACGACACATAAAAACAACCAAAAAGTCACTTACATTATTATAGTCACTTATTTGAAGTCATGAAGTTTAAAATAGAAGCTTGCAAAACAAAAGTTTAGTGTCACAGAGGCATAAATAATATGTAAAATTTTAAAGGAAAATAAATCATGACTGTTATTTTCATAACAAACTGGTGAAAGTAAATAAAACTATGTAAAAAAATATTAAATATACACTATCCGTGTTACAGATGTTTCAACGTCTATGATTTTTAATTGTGTGCGCAATATATTAATTTTGATTTGATTAACTTAACCCATATTTTGGCGAATGTGGCCTAACCTGCTAACAAATAACATAGAGCGCATGCGTACGCATGAGCACCGAGACACAAAGAATGACATTTCGTGAGTGTAATACCTCGTTTAGATACAAGATTCGCTTGTTTTGTTTTGCGTGTCACGCACACATGTATATAAAACCTGGCCTGTTTTTATCGAAGTGTTTACAAGGTAACGCTCTATCTAGAGAGTAAATAATCAAAGGTTAAAACCAAATTTTTTAGTCATAGGTATATTGATATAATGATTTTTTTAATTATAAGTTGATGCAGTGAATATTTTGAAGTTATACTTCTTTAGGCGCGTTATGAAAAAATGATGAGAGTGAAATTTTTAGATGCGCGCGCATCACTGTAACCCAAAAGTAACAGCATGAAGTTGGCCGCGGGCGCGTTATGAATGTTAGTGTCTAATAATGGTGGATTATTAACCATTTAGTGGTTAATAATCCACCATTATTACACATCTGTTCGAAAGGTACTTTGAACGATCCACGGAGCTCCATAAGATGTTCGCGTTGTCAAAAACAATGTTGGCACGCTCGTCGCCTCTGATCACTGTTTTCATTTTTATAATATTTATCCACATGTTTCTAGTTTCTATATAGACACAACGTGTTTTAGTTACTTACAAGTGCTAATTACATATGGACTAATAACTTAAATTCAGTAGTGATTTTAATTGAATATTTTGAATATTTATTTAATTTTTCAAATTAAAACTGAACTTAATTGACTGTGTTAACTATCCTTTTCCAGTCCTTTTATTATTTTATTGTAATTATTAATTATTTGCATGCAATTAAAAAATATTTTTAATGATGCTTAAGAAGTATAACTTCTCACGCGCGTACATAAGTTACACGCATCCATTTTTTTTTATTTTTTTTAATTAAATGTAGTTAAGGAAAATCTGTCAGCAATATTTATTTGTTTGTCTTGTACCTAATACTTAGTTGTGTAATCAACGATATTAAATACCCTAGAAACACCACGTGCGCTCATAATGTGTCCCAATCAAGAAGTGCTTGAGCACTCAAGCAGTTCTTCGTTCAGTCACGCGCGGACCGTTGAAAAGTCAAGTAGCCGCAGAGCTCCTTGAAAAATTGCGAAAAATAAATGTACTTACTTTGTATGTAAAGTGTTGTTTTTTCGACAGGAATCTAATCAATTGTTAATTTAACGCATTGCAAGCAAATTTTGTTCTAATACTTACTATAAACTGATTTAATACAAAATTATTTGTGATATTCAAATGCATGGTCGGTAATATAGCCGTCTTTTTTCCTCGCGGTCCGTACCTGCTACATTGCTAACAGTGCATTCAGAATTGCGCGTAGAATCAAAGAAATAATGTCTATATTCTTCTGCATATAGCAATAAGTCGTAAAATTTTACGAGCTTGCATTTCGAACTGTCATAACTTTTTGACGCATGCCATGGAATCTAGCTTTTGGACAGGTTTCGGTCACGATTTTCTTCGTGTTGGTGTATCTAGGATATTAAATATTGTTGTGTGTAATACTTAATATTATATCTTTTTTATCAAATTGCAACATGCATTTATTAGTATAAATATTATTAAAAATATATCTTTTGATATTATTATTCCAATTTTTTATTATACCTTATTTATATGGGTTCTGTCTTATGTGCCATGTTTAAGTTCCTTCTTATTTTAATAATATTATCTAATAAAAGTTTTACTACACAACTTGTTTTATTTCGAGGCCAACTAGACTTCACAACAACAAAAACACACCGGACATGTCAAATTGCCTTAATTTTTTTTCTAAATTAATGTGTAACTGTAGTAAAAATGAGAATGCTAAAAGCGTTCCCTCTGAGAAGATACTTGATAAGGTGTCTGCGGAGACGGATAAAGATTTGGGCGATGTTGAGCTTGTCTTAAAACACCACTATTTGGAATTGCGGCGTTGTGCGAGCTGTGTCGATAGATTAGTAACAAAAGTGCAAAATAGAGTGGGCGCTTCTTGTTCTCACTGCGATGACATGACAGAAGCAGTCATCCAATGTTACCGCTGCTGCAGCCAACAAACTCTGAAATGTGCCAAAGAAGTATCGGACCTTATAGAATGCGCTCGAGTGATTGCAACAGAGAAGCAACAGCAAGATTCCGCGTCATAACAATGAATTTGGAACAAGCTTAGCATTATAAATAAAATGGTTTTCATAACTTCTCATTCAGTGTTATTTAAGGGACATACAGCTGGTATTTCTGCTCAAACTTTTCTTCAAAATGTACTTGTTGTATTCCTGCTTTGAGTTGATGTAAAATGTCTGGCTCTACTTGATAGGAGAATGACGCAACGGCATCCTGTACATTCTGTAGCTGGTACGCGGGCAAATCTTTCTGTACCTACCTATCTACTAACTAGATTCCACTCACACTTAACATCAGTGGAAATGGAGATTTAATTAGGTACTTCATATATTAGTGCTCCGCCCTCGCTTCGAACGAGTTCGTTGGTTTCAAGTTAGTTTGCAGGCCTCACTTCGTATCTGTTGATATTATGATATATAATATTATATCTGCTTTGATTATTTACTCTCATAATTGCATTATGTGTAACTCAATTAACTGCTAATATATTATCTACTCCTGGTTTCTTTTTTTATCATAAAGACAAGGACAAAAGTTGAAAAAATCAGGGCGTTGCTTAATTAGTGATAACTAATGTCAAAGACTTTTTGATACAGCTACTAAACACTACTCATATTGAAGCTATTAGTATACGAATCTACTTGTCAGGAGCCGAATAGGTCTTATCCTCCTCGTCGGCGCCTCGTGTTCTTCTGACTGGCGATTTTAACGCTAATCACAGTTACTGGCATAGTACTTATACTAAATCACGTGGCATTATAGATGTAAGGCCGGTTTAAAACCAATTAAACCAATCCCTTTAAAACGAAAAAACCCGTTTAAAACCGAAATAAACCATTTTTTTCGATTTAAAACGGTTGGTGTTGATGACTATGTTTTTCTTAATTATAACTACATTGTCTTGATTTTACCGAGGTAGGAATATAACGGAGTACCTATAAACTGTATAATGATTTTTTAAATGTGTGATATACTTATTGATATTGATATACTTAGCGAATTTAGTTCTAGTTGGTCCATCTGCGACCAAGCATAGGTATTACCTACCTAAGTAATAAAAACTCTTATCATAAGTTAAAAACTCTGTGTAGTAAATAAAAAAAAACATTGTTTTCAAACGATATAAATCAATTTGATTCGGTCTAAAACCAAACTCACACTCTCTCGCACTCTCGTTGATGTCACTCGTCGTTACTCGACGCAAACGTTGCCAACGCAAAAAACGAAACATGACGTCAGGTGACCAAAAATTGACCTTAATGAAGTGTAAAAAACATAGTTCTTTTATTTTTGTATGCCAGTTTTCAACCGTTTAAAACGATTTATTTGGGGTTTAAAACGGCAACATTTTGTTTAAAACGTTTTAAATCGGTTGTTTTACATCTATAGGCAGAATGCTGTTCCCGTCCCATGTTAAATAATGACTACTCTATTCATGCCTCTAAATTTCCAACACAGGTAAATTATGCAATTGGTAAAAAACCTTGTAATCCAGGATTGGTTCTTTGTTTTAACATAAACACAAGGAGAGTATAAAAGACATATCCGCTATACTATAGCGGCGGCTATATTATAAAATAACCTTTGTGATTCTTTTTAGGCTCATACAAGGGAGCACCTTGATCGCTTAGGGAACAAAAGGTTCGCAAGTGTTGAAAATCCTAGTTCTAATATCTGGAAATTGTGCAGGTCCTTGAAAGCAAAAACTAGCACTATTCCTCCCCTTAGGTGTTCAGACGGCACCCTGACTACAAATGCTGCTCAACAATGCTCAACAAAGTGATTTATTTAATATTTAACCATTTGTTGTATTATTTATGCAATAAGCGAATTAATTACAAATGATTCATATTTGTGTGTAATGATTAGAACTAGTTAAATAACTGTGCCTTATAATTCATGTTTTAATGAGTGATTCGAATACATTATGTTTATAAGCTTTTATAGGTAAGTCTACTTAGTCTGATAAAGTATCTTTATAATATTATTTGGTATTTATTATATAGATTGTATGCATTTTATGAAATAACTAGCTGAGCCAGCGAACTTCGTATCGCCATAAAAATATGGGTGGTAGAACGGTGAAAATTTAGGATTGTATGTATTTTTGTATGATGTATCATAAAAAAATAAAAACAAAAGAAATTGTCAAAAAAAATTGAGGTTTGACCTTAACATTTAGGGGGATGAAAAATAGATGTCCGATTCTCAGACCTACTGAATATGCATATAAAATTTCACGAAAATCACACACCGTGACACGAGAATTTTATATATTAGAGGTATTTTGAAAAGAAAGAAAAAAGTTTGCAGACCTGTTAATCACGCTGTGGTCGCGTCGCGCGTATTGTCATTCGCACCTGTTGGAATCTAAATATTCAAAGATTATTGACATCACACACCAAAGTACTACATTGCGGCATAAAACAACCATTTCATTCAATATTTTTTCACATGGTCTAGCCTTAAAGTCAGGTTACCAGCTCCAACGCCTGTAAAATTTTTCGAAAATTCACTTTTCGTCAATAGACTTTTACTATTTGCACGGAAGAGTTAGTAGCTTACGGATTATAGCCTTCGCTTTCACTTCTAGCCAGTATGGGAAGAACATTTACGAAATTCAAAGCAAAAATATCAGATCACATCACAAGGTTTATTGAACATCAAATATAAACCAATTTTTTTTCTTACGCACATAGTGAAAACATCTGTAAATAATAAAAAAAAATACTAGTCGGAGTGGATGAGACGATCACAGCTTTGAGTCGGCGAGCATTTGGTATAAGAGTTCGATTACTGTGCGAGTCGGTCGGCCGGTCATCCCCCTTTGCAGGTAGGGGAAGTCACGACCTTTGGTGTAAGCCACGTTGTAAGTGTCCAGATGAAGCCAGTCGCTGTCGCATATGAACTGTTTCAGGAACGCTGCGCAGTTCGGAGAATCCCCGTATTTGTGGCGAGCAGTATTCGCCACGTCCGCGGTGTGGCAGTCCAGCACTCTGTCTTCATAAAACTGCCAGAGGGGCATACGCCATATACGGTCTCCGGTTTGACTGCTGGCCGACTGGGCGTAGCAGAATAACTCATCGGAGTTCGAGTAGCCCGCACAAGCTGCCCCGCCTAACGTGTCTAATAACTCCTTGGACATGGTTCCGATATCGATAATGAATTTAGGCCAGAAGTTCCGTGCATAGACCAAGCTGTCGGCGATGAGTAGTCTCCCTTCTTTAGACGGCAGTCTGATGTGGATAGATTTGCCGTTAGTGCTGTGGACGACGTCACCGAACTTTGGGCTGCTGCCGTTGGGCATCAGTTCGCACAGAGGCAGTATGCCGCGGATGTTTACGGGTAGTTTCAGTCTAGCCGCCGCGCGTGTTATAGCCAACACGCACGCAGCCCCAGCCATGTCTCCACGCATGTTCTTCAGTTCCTCCGGCGGTTTCAAGTCCAGACTACCGCTGTCGAATGTCACACCCTTCCCTATAAGCACAATGGGCCTCGTGCTCTGAGGTGCGCCGTAGTAGCTGATCTCTACGTACAGAGGCGGTTGCACCGACGACTTACCGATGGCGACGAAACCTCCCATGTCGTGACTCGCGGCCCATCCCTGCGTCATGACTTCCACATTGATGTCCAATTCGCACAACAATTCCACCGCTATCTTAGCGAACTCCGTCGGATTCAGCATGTTTGCAGGCATTTCTTGGAGATATCGGGCTAAATTTTGCGATTCCGCTTTCAGTTTGCCTATTTTCCACCCTTGCACGTCGCAATCTTCATACAGTTGAATCTTAGTGACGGAAGGATGGCTCCTAAATACGCGTGTTTTGAATTCCGTGAATTTCCAAACGGCAAGGGAAGCGCCTTCCGCTGAAGCCTCGGCGTCTCCGAATGACTCTAGATGAATAGAACTAGGATTCAACTGCTGCAATGCTTTCGCCCCGACCCCGGCGGCAACTCGTATCGCTTCTTTACTTTCATCCAGTTGTTCGATACAGTTGAAGGTCAAACATTCAGTGCCGAGACCGGCGACTGCGACGTAACCGAACACAGGATCGACATCAAAGAAAATGCGGCATTCTCCCAGTTTAGGGATGGGAGATAGTTTCAAAAGTTTCCAGAGTTTCCCATTTACTTTTTTATCGTACCTTTGCGCAGTTGCCGTCAGTATAGCCTGTTCGCCGACGACATTCTCGTTGAAATAGACGCCCAGCACGAGCCCTTTGTCGCGTAGGCCGCAAGCTTTGGGGTCGGCGACTTTGCGTTGCGGCACGTACGGCACACAGTCGGACCGCGGAATCTTGAATTGCGATATAAGACGAGCGCATATTGGGGCAACAGTCGCTACTTTGTTTAAACAAAACATAACAGAATTATATGTAAAAAAAAAACGATTTTTGTTGACTTACTATTGTGGTTGTGAAAATGTGAGGCCGACTAGTTTTTGACAACTTCACTTTTTATTAGAACAACTTTTTGCAATACAATATATATAACACGTAGTTTATATTAATTTAACAATAAAATCACATAGTCACACAACATACATTGTCCACAACTGTCACACATCATGTCTTTTGGAAAGGTCAAGAAGCTTTCTTCTTGAGCCAGTTAGGGGTGTATCGTTGGATCCAGACGGGGAGTCTGGCCAGCAAAGTCTCCTGCACCTGCCGGTATATTATAAGCGCTAGAAACGGAATGGCGAGCCGCTCGTCTTTGAAGAAGTACACCCAAAAGGCTAACAGAAGCAGGCACATGTCGACAGTGTAATCGATGGCTGAACGAACCGTCACTTTCGCCTGCTTCTCCAACTCTTGATAGTCTATTGGTATCACGATAGTCGCTCGCTCTGTTTTTTTCAGGACCACTTGTTTTGCGCGTTTTTTATGTTCCTGCGAGTGATTTTGAGCCGATATTGTGTTTTTATCAGATTTATTTTTTTCAGTGCTGGATTGGGGCGTTAATTTTGGAGTATTCGCTCTTGAATTTTGTTTCTCTTTTACATTAGTTTTATATTTCACTGCTTTATCGCTAGTCGTCTGCTTATTTGGTGTCCTTGGTCGAGGGGGGACTAGATTATTCTCGATTGGTTTCTTTGCAGTTACTTTCTTAGTTTTTAAAATTTTCTTTTTAACATTAACTTTTTCCTGTGTTTGTTGTTTTTCCGCAACATTCTTAAGTTCCTCTGTGTTGAGATATAGCGGCGTCGCAGGTTTCTTATGACTACCATACTCTTTAACTATATTACCGTAATAATCTATCACTGTTCTCCTTTCTTCACTAACTTTATCTTGCACTTTTTCATTTTTTTTCGGTATTTTCTGAAGATCATCATTAGTGGATTTTTCCTGTATCTTCTCTGGTTCTTTTGCTTTGTTTAATAACTTTGGAAAAGGAAAAGATTTTTGCACTGGCATCTTTGTTATTTTTTTCAATAACGTCATTTTCTGTTCTTTTTTTGGTTTTTCATAAGGTTTCAGTTTATCCTGTAGGTTTGGTTTCTCATCCTGTTTCATTAACCCGTTACCATCGACAACAGATTTTGGTTCTTTTGTATCAGATTCCCTTCGTTTTAATATAGGCTTTGGTACAAAATTAGGGTCTGGGAGCGGCAGGGGTTTGAGTATTTCTCTCTCGGACTCTTCTTCTTCTGCCATGGACTCTTTGAGGGGAGAGGGTCGCGCCGTCTTGTCGCGTGGGTTGTAAGTGTCCTCCTCATTTAAATAAGCGTCTCGGTCCACATCCTCGTTGACGCTACCGTCATCCGAAAAGTCCCCGTCCGTGGATACTGTGCTGGCGGTGTAGTCTTCGTCGAAAGACATCTGTTGCCATTTGTTATCCGTCGCCTCATCCACGGAGGATTGTTTGGAGTGTTCGCTGATGTCCATCGAGTCCTGTTTGATGACGATTTCCGGGAGTTTCTGATCTGGTTTCTGTTCGTTTCGGTCGGTGTGCGGAATGTCAGTGTTGTGTGCGTTTTGTGCTTGCTCCATGGCGACCGCCTTGTAGAAGCGGGCCATGGCGGCTTCGTGCAGTAGTTCCGTGGAGCTGACGGCGTTGCGTAGCGCGCGGAAGGGAAGCACACAGCGCGCGCTCAGCTCTGGCGCAGAAAGGGACAGCGGTGGTGGTGAAAGGGCCTCCTCCAAATCCAGTTGGAACGACTTCCTTTTTTCTGGAAATTAAAAATCCTCATGTGAACTTTGATGGTAATGAAAATGATGAAAACATTTTCACACAATGTTTTATTTAACGTTCGATAGCTTAATTTTAAATGTTTGAGTTATTATTAGTCGCAATGATCTTCACATAATAACTAGGTATGACAAAATCGCTAAAAATTATATGAATAATGAAAAAAATAATTCGCAAAAGTACACACAGAATAAAAAATAATTTTATAATAGTTTAGTTTGTTTGGTAAAATAAGAACCATTTACCGTAACTGTTTTTACCTGCATATAAGCATAGATTACTATTTTATCATATTTATTAGAAAAAAGCTTGTTTGTTCTCCGTTAATTAATATTGTTCAGTGAGTCAGTCTATATTTAAATGTAGTTATGGTATAATAAGGGTCAAATTTTGCTGCAGCTTTATTACTTGTAGCAGTTAGTGTTCCCAGTATGTGGGTTAGACAGGTCGTTTATTGGTGTTATAAGAGTTTTGTTGTAGCGGTCCGCTCATCACCACGTGCGTTATATTTATAGTACGGCTATGCGCGCTTTAGCTCGCCTGTGCTGAGACTATGCTGGTTACTTTCTAATTAATGTACGTTACAGTAATATTATATGTGTTCCCTGCTTTGTATTTTGAATTTTGCTTATTGTTTCATCATGATTATCATTAGGTACATAATATTAATTTAATAATTTCAATTTTTGTGCATAGGTATTAAATTTCTTTCTAACCCGATAAAAGTAAATAGGTTATCAGTACGATTCATAATTTTCAGCAAAGACTAGGTTCAGTACTAAATTTGGCAGATTCGTTAACGAATCGCCATTGTTAAAGTTTCTATGGAAGGAGGCTGTTTTTTCTTACGCATGGGCTCTGCGTCTGTTCCGTAGAAACTATGACGACGCGATACGATTACAGTACCCTTAGTACGAACTAATATCCAATTCGAATAGTTTGCAAACCGAAATGTCAATGTCAAATTTTGCATGGAATCTTAAACAGCAGCGGTACAAAGTCAAAGACTTTGTATTATATAAAGTCTTTGTACAAAGTACGTAACGAGAACTAAAAATCAGTACACATTTGACAATGACATTTCGGACTCGCAAACGATACGAATTCGATATTTATTCGTGTTAAGGGTACAGTTCTGTCAACGTTCGTGCTTGGGGTACAAAATGCTGCAATGCAACGGTACAGAATGTCGCCGATCTACTGCCGCGTGCCTAGGTAAACCAAATTCTGTTTTTTAAAGCAAAGGTCAATAAAATAAATATTTCTTACTAAAATGTTTAAAGTTTCAAATCGCATAACTTTTTTATACTGTCACATAATTAAGAGTCCATTTGCAATAGTGTGTTTATAAAGTAGATCTTACATAATTTTAAATAGGGGCAAAAATACTAAATCACAATCGCTTGAAAATTCCAATTAACTATTTAAAAATACATACAATTATGCAATCTTTATCATAATAATATAGATAGGTATACTCATCTGTTGCATAATGAAATTTTGCCTACAATATAAGGTTATACGTCAATAATATAAATAACTAGGGAAATTGTTATATACAGTTTATAAATTTTGTATTGAGTAAATGAAATAAAGATTAATAATACTTAATATCAAAGGGCTGTTCTAAAAATAAACTTTTACGACATTCATCAGAAAGAACAAATCATAGAGCGACACTGAATGGTATGACTGCATTGACGTAGAGAAACAAATAGGCAAGTTAAAACTAGATCTTACTAGTGACCCGGCCTTGCTTCGCTTTGGTTTAGACTTAAGTTTTTGTTTTAAGCTTGTTTAAATGTAAATATTATATGATAAACTAACTAAACTATGATGGTGAAAACAGCACGAAAATCCGTTCAATAATTTTTGAGACCATCACGAACATACAGACACGTAGACGTGACGACTTTGTTTTTTAGATTACCTAACTGCGGTACCCGCGATTTCGTCTGCGTGGGAAAATGGTTTTCAACAACAACCTTTTTACCCCCTTAAATAATGATTTATGTGATAAAAACCTCCTATGTCCTCTCCCGGGACTCAAACTATCTCTGTACCAAATTACATCTAAATCGGTTCAGCGGTGTAAGCGTGAAGAGGTAATAGACAAACAGAAAGACAGACACACACAAATTCGCATATATAATATTAGTACGGATAGTATGTATTAGACTTAATTCAAACAAATCCATACAATACAAAATTTATAAGGTTTTATGAAAATAAGGTCTAAACATATCCCGCCTTGTTACAAGAAAGTACTTATGTGAACTTCGCTTTGGCCTTTCGCGTTAGACATAACATAACTTTACTACAAATTAATTAAAACTTTCTTATTCGGAAGCAGCCTTCAATAATCTCATCAGTACCCATCATCACAAAGCGATAAACGAAGCGAACTTAAACAACTTTTGAAGAAATAGGTTAGTTTTTGATTTATTCTAATGAGCTGTTAGGTTTAAAAAGGTAATGAATTAAATGCGGCATTGGCTTGTTTAACAGTCTGATACCGTGGATTATCGTAATGTATCTATAATGACAGATAATATAACCAATCAAATCGAATCCAAGCTAAAGAAGATTTGAATTTATGTTTTAATTCACCTAAAAGCGACAGACCAGTAAAATGTAGAAGAGATACTTGCACCAAAGTTCTTAATTCAAATTTAAAAGCTAATCATATTAAATTCTCGTTCTATCTCTTTTTGATTTAAATAATTGACAAAGATGAAATGATGTTTAAAACACGATTAATCCTTAATTTGAACAAGAACTTTGGTGCAAGTGAGCCAAGTGTGTAAAAATATGGAGTTCTTACCAGTTTTTTCATTCGCCTTATCTGGATACAGCACGAGCATGAACTCGTTACTACCAGAGGGATCCTTGGCCTGGGCTTTTTTCATAGCTGGAGGAACCGGAGAAGCTGATCTCGCCCGCTGCGGGGGGGAAGGTGCCGGCGTTGAGCCCCCTAGCCGCTTACGTCGTGGCGCCGGCGACACCTTGCCATCGCCGTTCCTTCCCTCGCCGTCCTCCTTCGTCAACACCTGACTAATTATCTTCGACTCCACAGCCAAGAACTCCATATCCACCGCCCTGCCTGGGATCCTCACCGGCGCCGACTCAACGCTCGGCGCGCTCATGCCGTAAGGGCTTTCAGCCTTAACGCGGAACCTGTACTCGCTGCCTTCTATCAAGTCGAACAAGGTGACCGTCGTCTTGCGGCTCGTAGTCGCCTTCAGCCACACGTTCCACCCGCCGCGGTAGTACTCCACCACGTAATTGCCGATGCGGCAACCGCCGTCGTCCTCGGGAGGTTCCCAGATCAATGTCACAGATTTATCCACCTGCCGCGTGACCGACACGCGCCGTGGCGGATCTGGCGGCGCCGTGATCGTCACTAAGAACGCCGCCGTGTCTTCGCCGATGTTGTTTTTCGCGTGCACCTGATATTCGCCCCTGTCGCTTCGTCGCGCCGAATGGATTTTCAATATTGAGAACTTGGGGCTGCTTGAGATTTCGACGCGGTCGTCGGTGACGATTGGTTGACCGTCGTGCCGCCATTCTACCGTAGGCGTCGGTTTCCCCACTATAGTGGTCTTCAAAAAGACCGTTTCGTTTATTTCGTAGAGGAGGCCGTCCTCGTATTGACGCGGATACCGCAGTTTTGGCGCCGCCTCGAGCAAGAGGCATGCGCGCGAGACGGCATGGCCGGCGCGGTTGGTCGCCGTGCACTTCACCTCGCCCTCGTCGCTGGCCAATGTCTGATGAAACACCAGCACGCTCGACGTTTCGTCAGTAGTGATCGCCGTGCGCCGGCTGCTGAAAATCTCGTAGTCATCCTTGAACCAAGCGATAGTCGGGGTCGGCGAGCCGGCGAAGGACACCCGGAATTCCGTCTTCTCATTCTCGAGGATAGTGACATCGTTCAAATGTTGGAGGAATACGGGGGGCTCGTTGGCGGCCCGCTCGAAGCTTACGGTGAGGACATCGGACAATTCGCTGTAGTCGGATCTACCGACGGCGTTCAAAGAGGCCACTCGGAACTGGTAGCGGTGCGGAGGCTCGAGGCCGGTGAGCACGAGCTCGGGGCGCACGACGAGCGGCGGAGCAGTGCGCACCCAGTCTGCGCCGCCCAGTCGGTTGCACTCCACCTGGTAGCCCAGCAGCGGCGTGCCGCCGTCGTGCGTAGCGGGCGCCCAGCGTAGCGTCACCGCGTTCGGTTCGTCGTCCGTCAGGATCGGGATCACGTCCGGCTTGCCGGGCACCGCCGGCCGCCCTGCAACACACATTCATCTCCATCAAGCCTCGCCTTTTCCGGTCGCCCCACCCGGCGGTCGCGCAGTCGTTTGGCATAAAACTTCCCACAGAATTAGACGCGTGATTATAGTTACATGAACGCGGGAGCTGTTACGATTTGTTTTGTTGTGCCACGCTTCGGGAATCGTAGCGGGCGATGTTTTTAAAAATAGCCGCGCAGTCGGGGGCCTCTACGCCGCGCGACGAGGCGTGGGAGGGGGGCTGGTGTAGGGAGGGTTACCTGCAGACTTCCAGTGCACGTTCTTCCGGGGCTTGAGGGCGGCATGCGAGGCGGAGTGGTGGTTGCCCATGGCGGCGGCGACGCGCGCCGACACACTGAGCGCAGCACTCGCGCCCTGCGCCCCGCACCCCGCACCTCCGGCCGCGCCGACCTGCTGGGAATAACTCGCGCCGGCGCACGCCCCGCTCCGATCTTGATCCGCTCGATCGATAGGATTTCAATTATGATTCCCACCACGACCTTTGGCACGCTCCTTATTGATATTATATGTTTATTATTACGCAGCCAATTATTGGTTGCTATATTTTTGAACGCACGTACGGCATTGACGCTCTAGGCTGCCTGTGAAATGCCAAACTACTGTGAGATAATAATGGAGCTACGTAACAGCCCGCTATAGTTGCGATTCGAGTTCATTGTATCCACCATTTATAAAAATAAATTCTTCTATTCCGGATGTATCAGCGCCATCTACCACTTACAGTATAAAACAACATATTCAAAAGTAAGTGGGACTAGTCACCTTCTATTTGCTTTCAGGATTTAGATTCTGTAGAAGATATTTTCAGCAAGGTATTTAGTTCTCTGAAAATACTGCAGATGTCGTTTACATCAACGAGTATTATTTGTATAATTGTTTTTTACTATAATGATTGATCTGACAGCTCGATTATCGTTTACGAGATTTTTGGCCCCTACGAAGTCAAGTTGTCTGCTGCTTAGAGATGGTATCTGGCAGTATTCATTTCAAATTGTAAACACTATTCCCTACGACATACGTAGAAGTGATTAGAATACCTGAAGCACCTGGTACCTGAGAATAGGCCGCCGGCACAAGTTAACGGGTACATATACGTTCACTGTACACAGTACCTAATACTACTCGATTGTGCATATTTTTTTCATTAGAAAATAAGTAAGGTTCTCACTACTCAAATTTCCTGTGCATAAAACCGAATTTGCATCATGCTCCTTTACGGTACATGCCGTCCGCTTGTGGAACTCGCTGCCAGCAGGGATCAGAGACAACCCAACTGTTGCTACATTCAAAAAACGGTTGAAGGAACACTATCTATCCTCTTGAATCACTGTTTCTGAACTCTATTGCTTCTCCTTTTTAACACTTATATATTTTATTTAAGTATATATATTTATTTGTACATATATGTAGATATATATGTAGGTTTTCTTTATGTAAGTATTGTATTTTGTTATTTATATTTAGGAGGCACACACTGACGGCTTTTTTTATGTTCTTTCCTTTCGCGGGCCTGCTGGAAGAAATTTCAATATGAAATAAGCAGTGCCCTTGTACAAATTTCTTGTTCTATTTATCTGTTTTATTGTGTGTGTACTAAATTAGTAAATAAATAAATAAGGTCTTGGATCTGGGCCCTGGGATTTCGGACTATTATAACATAATATGTGCTAGTATGTCCTGTCTGTTGATAGACTTTTACAATCAGCACTGAAAAACCTACAGCTGGTGCATTATTGGTTTTCCTTCAACTACCTGTCCAGCATATTAGACAATGTCGATTGATATTATTGTTTAGATAACTTTATTACCTATGTTACTGCAGTAGTTAGTTACATTGCTCCAGGAGAAGAGAGAGACTGAGCTCAATTTTTGAGAAGTTCATCATGTATACCCTTTAACCATGTGGAAGCATTATTCAACTTTATAGTAAGTAGCCATATTTATAGCGATATTAAACAAATAAATGTAAATAAATTAACAAACCTAGAGCTCTAGGGCCATTGAACCATTAGAACCCTAAACAGCAAAAACAGTTATTGAAATCATTAGACAAAAAAGTAGTGTAAGAATAAATCAAAAGAAATTTCATAATTTTATTGTTTCTTGACGGAATTAAAAACAATGTATTTTCTGGCGAATTGAGAACCTCCTCCTATTTGGAACCGGCTTAAAATGACCGTTTAAAGGAACTTTTTTTTGATTAGTCAATTTTGAAGTTTGCTGTTATCACTGACCCTAGCTAGGTATTGCATACCGGTATTTTTATTGCATTAATTTCCTTTTTATACTTACATCCATGGTGTACGTATTTCTGAAATTAAGGTCTTTACAGCTGGATGGACAGTAAAGTGATCTTTTCTAAACGTGTTCTTTTTTTGTGCTGATACAGAATCCAAAAAAAACCCTAATATATCAGTAATGGAATGCAGCCTACATATGGGTGCATTCAAATTTAATAATGAAAAATATTTACACAACTCTGGACTGGGAGCGGAACGATAACATAAATAAAATGCCCCAACTGTTGGCTTTTTCACGCAGTGAGCACCACACACAAAATCCGAACTGTAGTATTTTGTTTTCATAGATTATATTTTTTACAAATTATATACGGACTCATTTATTTATTTAAGGGACAGTACACAGCTTATATGTGTATTGGAATTACAATCAGTGATATATAATTTGAAAGCCAATTACGACTATCCACAGATTACAATAAGGTTTTAAAACGAACAGACGTGAAACGTGATTTGTGGAGAACCTTAATATACCCACCTTTTTTTTTTTACGCTGGCAAAACATCTATTTACAGACGTACGAGGCCGGGAGGCTGCTGGGTGCGGAGACGCGGAAGAATCTCTAACGGGGACCCCGCGGCTTCGCATTAAGCAGGATAGAGGGTATTTGCATGGGTATTTAGCGGATGTTAAACCGTATATACATATTAAGGCCACGGAGGTCGTAAAACATTTAAGACCTTATATTGTTTCGTGTTTTAGAGTACCGTATCTTAAATTGAAAAAACGGAACTCTTAAAGGATCACTTTGTTGTCCGTCTGTCTGTCTGTCTGCCTGTCTGTGACCACAAGTCAGGTGTGATTTACAGCAAAGCAGGATATGGAGCTGATTTAATTAAAGAGTATTTTTTTCTGCTGCTGTTATTATCTTTCGGGCTCACTATGCGTTGCAGAAGCTGTGGTTTTTTTGCGGCTTCCCCCGTTTTGTGACAGGTCTTTATCTTCTTCCTTCTTTCTTTTTTATTATTTTTTTTTAACTCATTCTTTTGCACCCTTTCTTTTGCGCTTTATTCCTTTTTTTAAATATATTTCTTGATTCTATTACATGTTCTTTTTTATTCTAAGTTATGCATTAATGTTAACATTCCTGTTTTACTTGTTTCTTAAATTCTTATATCTATTTTACATACATTACTTTTTTACTTATATCCTATGACTTATTACATTTTTGCTTCTTTATATATTTCTTATTTTTAAAATTTTATTTTGCTCTTTTTATACTACATTTTAAATTAATAGATTTACTCCATTTCTATTCCACTTTTTATTTACAATTAAAAGGAGCTTCATTTACTAATCCTTGTTTCTTTTTATTACTTTCTGTACTATTTCACGACTAAACTCTAGGAATAGTTTCCTTTCTTTCACGTTTTTGATAATTTCCCTTAGTATGTCCCTAGCCCTACTGATTTGTGTATCAATGCGTGTCTGTAGTTCAGAAGCTGTGGTTGTTGCTGTGTCTGACCCTTCTTATGTGTAAGTGAAAACACCTAAACCAGTTAAATATTTGACGAGTTTGAGTATAGAGTTAGAGAAAGATACAAGCGGCTTTCCTTTAAGATATGTATGGGTTTAATGGATAAAAGGGACAGAAGTTTGCATGGAGGTGTTATCATGCATGTAAAAAATGTCTCGAACGCCAGCTAGTATTAAATTGGTAAACTCAATAGTTAACTTACTTTTTAAAATGTTAACGCAGGAATACATTATATTTTCGTTAAAAAACAACAAGCAGCAAGCTGTATGTAGGTATTATTTTAGTTCCAGCAGAAATATCGTAAATAAGAGATGGTACAGGAATAGATTAGAATCCGCTCTCCTTACATGAATAGAAACATAACAAAACATTGCGCAATGTTGAGCATGGCTTTCTTTTATTAAAATGTTTCTCGCTAAGAGCGATAGATGGCGTTAGTTGATTCAGCAAACAGATTGTTGTACACTCGTTATGCATAATTATATTATTGTAAATATCTCTTGATACTGGACGCAGCAAATAAGACCATCCCATATGAAGTTCACAAGAGTAGTAAGTAAGTAATTCCAAACCTCCATAATTTTGCTTGCCTGGGCCAAGACCCTACAACCAAGAGTAACACAACAACAACAAAAGCACATTTTATTTTACTGCGGTCATCTGTAAAGTGGACGTTATTTCTTAAGATGAGCTTTTTAATTCTACTACTTACAAGTAAATTTTCTACTGGCACTCATCCCACCCAACTCAGAATTGCATTAATTCATATAAAACTTATTTGGAAAAGCGACGACAATTACAAATGCCACATGGTATCAATATTTCTTTCTTTGGCGCGAGTTTTACTGATCTGATTATTACTCGTATTAACATTTTAGGTAGCTACTGCGGAGTTCTAGCCTGAGTGGATAGAACCTGGGGACCTACCGATTTATAGAAACAAACTTGATTTCATATTGATTTTATTAGATTTCAGGCGAATACAAGTTTTTAATCTAACTACGAGAAGTTTTGGTGCCTGAAGTCCATCTGTTGTGGAACCTTCTATCAAAAGACAGATGATTCCTTATTTCAAATATTAAAATCATGACATTAACTTTTTAATATAACTGCCAGCCGTAGGCATTGCATGAACAAAGAGTTTACCTAAACAAGGAGGCATACTAGATGACCGAACAAAATTTTTTTTTCCTACCTACTACATCGAGAGGGTTCGACAGTCCTATCTAAAAATCCCTACCTACTTAAGGACATCAATACAACTGGGAGGTGGCCTTTACTACAGACTAGCCCTCACAATAAGTTTGCAAAACTTGCAAAAAAAACAACTTTACGGGAAAAGAACCCTAACTGTTTGCAAAGTTTTATTGCAAAGACTTTACGGGAGCAAAACCTTAACAAAATCCCTCGTACATCTCCCCCCTAACCTTAACTTTACTTAACATCGACATCAGTCGGCAAAAACAAAAAACAAAACTATCCCTAGCTATTCCTTAAATTACCCAAGCTATTTTTATTTTATCCCATCTATCAGCAAAACTTTACCCTATCCCATTTATTAAACCATTAAATATCAAGAAAATCTATATTTTGAAACTTCATTACTTCCCATACTAAATAGATGTACGAAACGAAATTCGAACTATTTCCTAAGATTCGTAAACACTAACTAACTGGATTTGAGAAACTAAAAGAATTAATAATTAATGTTTACTTTCGTACATCTTTAATAAAGATACAGACGTGGTCCACTACTTTATTGTCTTGTACTTTATTAGACACCCATGATGCGCAAACTTAATAGAAATTTTGGGTAAGGACATCCAGCATCAAACAAGATTAAACCCAATTCCCATGGAATACTAAGGGTTCCCTACCCCCAAGTCAATCTACTACAAGTGACGATTTTGACGAACGCGACGCGAACAAATTGAAACGAAAACGACGCGAATTCGTAGAGGGTGTCTTCATCATCTTCAAGGTGGACCATCGTCAGTATGGCTAACCTCTGCATGAGCGCCAGCCTCCTCTCTCTCGGGAAGTCCGCATCATGTTGTAGTACATAGAACAATCAAGAAAATATTAGTAAAATTCTTTACACCATTTTTCTTCAGTCGGGTAAGTTCATATTCAAGAAAACATTTATAATAAATCTTTACACCATCTTTTCTATAGTTGGGTAAATTTTCAAAGTATAACATTATTATTCATTTATTTATTTTTCAATCTTACAGGGAATCGAACCCGTTTCCCTTTTTTATAATAAGGGAATTTTCTTTATGGACCTATATTATCCTATTATACATTATTAACTATATTCCATCCTAATGCTGAATTAATCCTATCAATGATCATATTCAAAGTCAATTGAATAATTCTAAGTTGAACAGAGAATCGAACCTGTCACCTATCAGTCTAATGGTTATTACGACATCAATAATCCACCTACTCAACAAATTACACTAAACTTAGCAAATAATCAAAATACTTTAATGAAAGTACATCTTTTAATCTATCATAATAAACAAATTTCTTATTAAAGTGGTTAAAAGTTGGGATATTGAATTTTCGCCTAATGAACTAGTGAAGTGGATAGAATGGTTCCAAGAGGTAATTCAGGCAGCTTCTATTAAAATTCCACGTTGGTACGCCTTTTCCTTGAATTTGGAGCCATCTTATCGTGAATTGCACGTCTTCGCCGACGCCAGCGAACATGCGTATGCTTGTGTAGCTTATTGGCGTCTTGTTTACAAAGATGGATCGATTCGGTTGGCTTTGATTTCAAGCAAAGCAAGGGTATCTCCGCTTAAGCCTACATCAATTCCGCGCTTGGAATTTCAAGCTGCCTTAATAGCCTCTCGCCTCGCACTAACTATCAACGACAGTCATGTCAAAAAGCCATCACGTAGCTCCATGACTGTCTTGGGATGGTTACGCAGCGATGCAAGAAAGTTCAAGCCATTCGTCGCCCACAGAATTGGCGAAATAATTGAAAATACCAGAGTTTTAGATTGGAAGTGGGTGCCGACTGACTTGAACGTCGCAGACGATGCGACTCGTCCGCGTAGACTTGTCTTTGTCGTCACGTTGGTTCACAGGGTCCCCTATTCCTTTTGAAGTCCCCAGAGGACTGGCCAGTGGAGCCGGCAGGACTTACGCCAGTTCGCGAAGAGCTTAGGGGCTCTGAACTGGTGTCACTCCTGACTGTGACTCAAGCCGTGGTAGACTGGCCTAAGCCAGTAACAGCCAATTTCAGCCGCTTCAGTAACTGGCTTCGCCTATTGCGCGCCACTGCGCGAGTTATTGAAGCGGTGCACATTTTTAAGAGCACTCTTTCTCGGCAACGATTACAATCACGTCGATGTGCTACAGCGTCCTCCCCTCTACTTGGTTCGGCGTCCACTGCTCTTATACCTCTAACAGCAGATCTTATACAAGCCGCAGAGAGGCAAGTTCTGCTTCAAACCCAACTCGACAGCTTTAGAGAAGAGTTCAACTGCCTCCTGCAACGCCAACCAATCCCTAAGAAAAGCCGCCTGCTCAAACTCTCCCCCTGTCTTGGAGAAGATCGACTTCTCAGACTGGCCGGTAGGATAAGTGCTGTCAAAGACGTGAATCCAGATATTCGTCGTCCAATATTACTAGATGGAAACCATGCAATTGTGAGACTCCTGGTAGAACATTTCCATCGACGGATCGCTGCACATGGCAACAACGAGCTGGTTATTAATGAACTCCGGCAAAAATACTGGATTGTTCACCTAAGACCTACTGTCCGCAGCGTCGCGAGCAAGTGCGGGTTGTGCCGCATCAAGAAAAGTCGACCAGAGATCCCAGTGACAAGCGACTTACCCCCACAGCGATTGGCTCACCATCAAAGACCCTTTTCATTCACCGGCGTAGACTACTTCGGACCTCTTACTGTGACCATCGGCAGACGACACGAAAAGCGATATGTGGCACTTTACACCTGTCCCACTGCACGAGCCGTACACCTTGAGCTCGTCCATAGCCTGTCCGCCGATTCAGCGATCATGAGTCTACGGAGATTTATCTCCCGAAGAGGCAACTAAGAAACTCGAGTCTCTACAATTACGCCGTGATGTGGCATCATTAAGCGCATTCTACCGAATATACCACGGCGAGTGTTCTTATTCTTGCTTATCCCTCCATCACCTTTTCTTCAGAGGACCACGCGCGCTGGCCTACGTTGCCATCGACTTACTGTGGCCACTATTCCTACACGAACAAAGAAATTTGGCGACTCATTTCTTTGTCGTACTATTCGTAAGTGGAATTCTTTACCCGCGCACGTGTTCCCTCCTTCCTATAATCTGGGGTCCTTTAAGAGAGGCGTGAAGAAGCATTTTTGCGGGCCGGCAAGGTGAGGATGGTTGGTGTAGCAGTTAATAACTGCTGTACCAGCTATCTTCGCGTTTGGACTTTATCACCACTTAACATCAGGTGGGGTAGAGGCATTTGCCTACCTAGTAATATAAAAAAAAAAAAAAAAATCCTAATACTATATTCTCAGACAACGGGACGGCATTTGTGGGCGCTAATCGGCTTCTAAAAGATTTCTATAGCAGCGAGATCCAGGATTTTGCGGCGAACAGGGGAATTACATGGCGCTTCATTCCACCAGCTGCCCCAACATTTGGCGGATGCTGGGAACGCATGGTAAGAACAGTTAAGAGTGCTTTGGTGACCACACTTAGAGATCGAGCCCCCAAGGAGGAAGTTTTGTTCACCCTCTTACTGGAGGCGGAAGCTATCGTGAACTCCCGACCTTTAACCCACGTATCCGTCAACCCTGATGACGAGGAATCCCTGACGCCATTTCACTTTTTAATTGGCACATCATCTCCACAGATCCTACCAGCCACTTTAACTGACAGAGACTTGTATGGACGTTCAGAATACCGAAAGGCTTTGAGACTTGCAGACATGTTCTGGAACCGTTGGGTACGTGAAGTCCTACCAACCCTACAACCTCGTGAACCAGGAAATCCTACGACAGGGTTTGAGTTAGGTGACCTGGTGCTGATCGTCGACGAGACCCTACCGCGAGGAACATGGCCGCGGGGACGTGTCTCGGCATTACATCCTGGCAAGGACGGGATTGTGAGAGTAGTGGACGTTGCGACAGCAGGTGGCGTTCTTCGTCGCCCCTGCCGAAAAGTAATAAAACTTAATCTTGGCTAGATTATTGTGCACATTCTTGCACAAGGGGTGGGGATGTTGCCAACCTCTTTTATAGATTTAGTTTTAATGGTTTTTTGAAGTGTTTTTAAAGTATTGACATTTTTATGATTTTTGCTTTCAAAATTGTTATTGTGTGTCATAGTCTTTGCTTGTCATCAGCTTAAATATTGTTTGTGTTTTACTATAAAATCGTGTTAATAAACCCATTGCGTACTAAATCCTAGCCTACATTTTTCATTCCACTAGCTCTCCGCTTCAGTAGGTAACACTGAAAAAGTTTAAAACTGTCCAGTTAGAAACATTGCTAATGAAAACTTTTTTGAATTTCAATTTTAGAACTCTCTGGTAACCTAAGGTAGTATATTGCATTCATTTGTATTTGTGAATTGGCGGCAAATCTAAAACTCTTGTTACACGTGAAAATTAACCAAACGCGAGAAAATTTTCGGTCAATGATTTATTATGATTTTCGTTGTGGGCTAACTCAACAACAAAGCTATCATATAGGCTGCGATTAGCATTTCTTAATGAAGCCCCATCTCGTGCCACTATTTACAATTGGTTTAACGAGTTTAAGCGTGGACGTAGCTATCTTAATGACGATCCACGTGAGGGACGTCCTTTAACAGCGACTACTGAAGATAACATCAGTGCTGTGCGATGCATGATAGAGGAAGATAAGAGAGAGACCTATCAGCAGATCCGAGCAAGCCTAGGCATTGGTATAAGTTAAGTTCAAAAAATATTACACGAACATTTAGGCGTCAGGAAGCTTTGTACCAGATGGATTCCCCATACTTTAACCGACGACCAGAAACACCTTCGCATGGACTGGTGTCGCCAAATGTTAGATAAGTTCAACGGCGGTGCCTCAAATGCTGTATTTGACATCGTCACAAGTGATAAAAGCTTGATATATTGCTACGAACCCGAAACCAAAAGACAATCAGTTCAGTGGGTGCTTTCTTATGGGGATCGGCCAACTAAGGTAAAGAAAGGAAGGAGTCAAGGAAAAAAGATGATTGCCTCATTCTTTGGTCGGAAAGGTCATTTCGCGACAGTTGTGCTAGAAGATGGAAGGACAGTTACTGCAGACTGGTATGTCAATCACTATTTGCCCGTTGTCTTGGAAAAAAATTCGACAGCAGCGCCCTCGAAGCAGGATCCTCCTTCACCATGACAATGCTTCAGCGCACTCCGCAAAACGGACTGTTGAATATTTGACTATGGCAGGTGTCGAGATAATGAGTCATCCGCCATACAGTCCTGACCTGGCGCCCTGCGACTTTCATTTATTCCCAAGAACTAAAGATAAAATTCGAGGTAATCGCTAAAAATTACGAGCCCTGAAGATGCGGTGAAAGCTTACGAAAATGCCATAGAAGAGACCCCTAAGGAAGAATGGGCCCACTGCTTTTCCCAGTGGTTCCATCGAATGCGATGATGTGTAGAGAGGAACGGAGATTACTTCGAAAAACAATAAAAGTATTGGCAACTTTCTACATTAAGCCGTTTTTCATTTTCTAAACATTTTAATTGTTACCTAGGTATCATTGAATTTGGATAATTGTCCAAACCGATTGACCAATGCATTTTCAATTGTATCTATCATAGGGTAAAAGACGTTAATTTTAAACACTTCTTCTTCTTCGGGATCTGTTGGTGTTTCATCTGCAGCTTCATACTCAAATATTATGTAATCGCTTTTTTCTCCGGTATCGGACTGGCTTAAACGTGGGATCTATACCAGCCTCAGAAGCTATTTCCTTAGCTGTTATTTGAGCAGACGAATAAGTCCGGTATTGCTTCACAAATTCCGAGCAGTTTTTCAGCAATTGCGATGCATTTGATAAATCCATAGCTTCATACTGCAAAGCTTTACTTACAATGTTTACTTGAAACAGTATATCATATCAAGCCACCAATGTAATTAAGAATTCAAATTGCTCCATATTCTGAATCAGTGACGAAGCCTCTGATGCAGCAACTGAATCATTGGTTTCTTCGTGAAGAATCAAAAGAGTATCAAGAACTGAACAGTAACTGTAGCGAATAGAAGCAAGGCTATAAAGTCTACTCTCCCAGCGAGTTTCGCAAACTTTTTTCAGTGATAGTCCTTCTATGTGTTTGAATATGACTTCCCACCTCTTTGTTGCTCCAGAAAATAATACAAATAGTCTTTGGAGAAATCCAAATAAAGAGACCGATTTAACGGATGATTTAGCTGCATCTGCTACCACCAAATTCAAGCTGTGACAGCCACATGGGTTAAAAAAATGCTCGAGAACGTTGGTTCAGAATTCTGGTTTGGACACCTTTGTTTATTCCTACCATGTTAGCGCCATTATCGTACCCTTGACTTCGACAATCGTTCATATCCAAGTCAACTTCATGCACAATTTCATCAAGAAAAAGGCTAGTGTGCCCTTCTCCTGAAGAGTCACTTACCGGCTTGTAAGCAACCAAACACTCTCGTACTTTCACTTCTTCTCCATTAGTGTCAACAAAACTTAAAGTTATTGATAATTGTTCAACGTGGCTTACATCAGGAGTGCAGTCCAGTATGATAGAGAAGTATTTGGATGACTTAATCATATTCAAAATTGTATTTCGAACTTTACTTCCAAATAAGTCAATTAACCCGTTCCCCTCACCGCCTCCCCGTTCGTCGCTCGTCGCTACTCGCCGGACAACAATACGATTTGC